TTAATAATTAACAAACAGAGTCACAATAACAATATAGAAGAGATGGTGTATCACAAAATAATAAAGATCTTAGTGCTTGTTCTGGTGATTTCTTTTGAATAGGTGAAAACATTGATTTATTGTCAGTAAAACGAGGTGATAATAATGCTCTTGAACGAAGTGTTGATTGTTGACATTCTTTAAATGGAGTATCATGTAATTCATTACAAGCACTAGTTGATAATTTAAGTTTTGGATAAATACGTGGTGAAATGACCCTTGTTCTTACAGCCATTAATTATTAAGTTCCTTTCTTTCTCTTTTTATAATGAGAAAATATTCTAAAGAAGAGTATTTTATATGATGACAATTACTAGCGATTTTCATTTATTTCCTTGATTTACTTCTTTTATAAATTAGAAATTTTGATTATGATTGGAGTTAATTATTAACTCCTTTATTTCTATTTTAATTTCTTTAAAACGTTATTTGTTTGTATTTTTTAAATGTCGAAAAAACTGACTTATGGATTAAAACAGATTTTATTATCTGGTTCAAAATTGAGACGTTGGAAATTACTAAAAATTTTGATACTTTCAAAAACCCAATTCTAATTTTATATATTTTTCACTACTTTTTAATGATTCGTCATTCCCATTATTTATACTGTTTTTCTTTACTGAAATATTACTTCCTTCTTTATTAATTATTTTCCTTCACTGATAACCATTTTCTTACGAATTATATTCTTCATTATTCTCATTAGAAATCGTTTCATAATTATTAAAAATTATTTCAAAAAACTATAACTTTTAATAAATTCCTTTTTGATTTAACTTATTATAATAAAATCATTGTAACTTAAACTAAAAAGATAAAATAATGTCAACAAGAACTTATATTGAATTATTTTTACTTATTCTATTTTTAATCAAAACTTTTTTCTAAAAATATTCAATAAATTTTGTAAATCCCCTAAAAATATATTTTTTCTTTTTAAAAATCATAATTTCATTTTTTTAATTACGAAAATATCATTAAAAGTCTTTCAAAATACCATTTTGATTTTAATTTATTTTAACATTTCAATCATTAGTTTCCTTCATTCCTCATGAATAAAAATCGCATTTGAATACTTGGTTTGTTCATCCTTATTGATTATATCCTTTATTTCTTTAAATGAACCTCTTTATATGAACTAATTAAACTATTTGAATTTAAACTTCAATACTACCACAATACCTAAAAATACAATTTTTTAATTTAATTTCAGAATAAAGTAAAATTTAACTTATAATGAATAAAATGTAATTATATATTCCTGATATACGCCGTTTATATTGGCACCATTCTCTGTTCAGTTTAATTAAATAACTCACATAGAAAATATAAAACTACCTTTTTACTGAAAATAAAGTAAAACATTAATTAATGAAGTAAAAAAAAAAACTCCTTAACGTCAAAATATAATTTTTTATTTTAAACTGTTATACCAAACAGATCTAAAAATACATAAAATATGATTATTATTTTTATAAAAATAATAAAAAGTATAACATCAAAAAATAACCAACAATTTTAAACACTCAAAATAATAACAATATGTTATTATAAATCCTTGATAATTATTGAATATGATGTCATAGAAAAGTACTTTAATTATATTAGTATTTCTTAATCATCAAAGTTAAATAATAAGAGTTATTTAATTCTCTTACCAACTAACAACCATTAAAAAATTAGCCTCAAACCAAATAGATTTTAGTTTACTTTTTTATTAAGAGTTTGAACCGAAAATATAGAGTGATACTGGTACAGTATTTCTAAATATTACTTATTTTAAATAAACGATAAATTGTTTTATTAAGAGATATTCTCAACCATAACTCATTTACTATTAAAAGAAACAACATATAAATAATTTTCAAGACTTAATCAATCTATAGGTGATTTAAGATCTTCTAATTTCCTTTTTATTTCCTTGAGTCTTTCCAACTCATCAATGATACTCTTTATTTGTTGTTCATAACCCTTTATAATCGGAATTAACTCCTTTTTATTTTTTTGTCTTTTTAACTGCATCATGAGTTTTTTAATATCAATTTTTTCTCTATCAGCCTCTTCAATTAAATTTTTCTTTTCCATTACCCAATTAAAATTGTTTTGTATTGTTTCTATAATTTTGTCTTGTCCAAATTTTAAAGGAATTGTTAAGTTTTCATTAACTACAAAACATTTTGCTTGTGTGTTGTTAATGAGTTTTACTTTTTTGAAAATGTCTTCGCCAGATAATGTATTTCCATATCTTGAATTAAAATCTTCATATCCATTAAAATAGAACTGGTTTAATTTAACAATTGCTGAGTCCCAAGAATACTTTTCTTTAGAAAGAATAATTTCATTTTTGTATTTAATTTCTAAGTTTTCTTTACTAGGTATTTGTTTGATGATTGGAAAAATTCCTCCTTTAATTAAGAATGGACTCTCTGGATAATCTTGTTCATTAATTTGAAACTCTCCTTTCTCTATCCAACGGTCAATATAACAGAATTTAATTGAATGGACTTTTTGAGAGATTTCTTTGTCACTATCTTTAATATACTCTCTTATATCTACAGGACTAATACTAAGTTTTTTTGCAACACAACAGGCACCATAACTATTGCATGTCTCATTATCAAGAACCATTAATGGAGTTAGTCCTAATTGTTTAATTAATGCTCTATAAAGAGAAATTCTTCCTGAAGACCCAATAATGCAAACTTCCTGAATTTCTTTTTCTATGTTCATAGATTTCATTTTATCCTTACCTTCTTCTATAACTTCTTGAATAACCTTTTTTGTCTCTTCAATTATTTCTGACATTTCACGACTCATCTCTTCTCTTGTAACCTCTACACTTGCAGTTACTTCACTTGATAGATCAACACTAAATGTTCCTTCTTTAACATCATCATTGCAGAATAATGTCTTTAATTTAATTAACTCATGTTGAATTTTACTTTCTAACTTTTTCATCTTTTTTGTTTTGTCATCAGTACTTTCTTCCATAAATTCTTTTACATCGTCATCATCTAATTCGTTGATTTTATTCATTATTAAAGCTTTTAATTTTTCATCAATAGTCTGACCTCCAATTTCAATACTTCTTCTTGAAACTAAAATAATTTTAAATCCATGAAAAATGCAAAATTGACAGAATGTATGACTTGCACCAACATCTAATAAAACTAGTGGTTTAATCATATCCTTTATTTCTATACATTCAATACAATACCTATGAAATAAATATGATATACTTGATGCCACATCCTCTCCGATAATAACAACATCATTAAATCCAATTAATGACATTGCTGCATTAATTTGTTTTCTTTCAAGAAAACCAAATGTATAAGGAACACTAATAACAATTTTATCTATTTTTAACTCTTCTTCCAATTCTTCTTTTAACTCTAACTCTTCTTTTAGTTTTTTTTTTAATCTTTCTTTTAACTGTTTTTTTATTTCTTCTAAATAACTTTTTATCATTAATGATAAAATAACTTCTATACGAACCTCTCCAAAATGTTCACAACTAAAATACCCATCAACACATTCTTTTCCTTTGACAATACTTGGTCTTTTATTTCCAAGCCATTTGCAAACATGATAAATTACTCTTTCTGGATGACTTAAATCATTATCAAATATGCTCTTTTCATTAAATTGGAATGAGGTAGTATAAGTAGCACTTCCTAAAAAATTCTTTTCTATCACTGGTTTTAATGAAATAGGTGCAATATTCTCCCACACGGAAATAACAATATTTTCACATCCCAAATCTATCCCAACTAATACCGAATTATTTAACATAATTTGATAACTTCTTTTTTATTATTCAGTTCCTTTTTTAAATAATATTATTACTCTTTCAATAATAATTTTTACTTATTATTAATTTACATAAAAAAAAATTTTTTTATTAAACATCATTTATATTTCTTTTCTTTTTATTTATTAAGAGTTCTTGGCAAAATTGTTTATAATAACAAAACTACAAAGAGAATATATGTTTATAATAATTGTTACAGTTCTATTAATAATTTATAGTTTATATTTTTGCAAACAATGAGAATTTTATATTTTTCATGTTTCCTTTTGTTGAGTTGTCATTATATTTTTTTTATTATGTTATTTTTTGGTTATTTATTTGGACAAGGTTAAAGGTTGCATCAGAGACTCCACATGGATCCACAAAATAAATCCAGCCTTTGAATCACTAGTTATCGTCTGGTTATGGTGTGCCATTAGTTAGAAAACATGTTACTCATATTGAAAGAATGAGAGTGATTATTATTTATGTTGATTGAATATCATCTATTATGATAGGAAGAGCTGTTATTTATCAAGACAGTAGTATTACTTACTTGTATGATACAAGTGTATTTGGTGATAATGGATTGAAATGAATATTGGGTATTATCAATGAAAATTGGTCTACTTGTAGACGATGATAAATAAAATTATGTATAACAATATAAGTGTAAAGATATAATTAACATAAAATAAAAGTAAAGAACAAAGAGTATCAATATTCATTAAAATTAAATAGATATGAAATAATTAGTTAAATGAGGAATAGTTAAGATGAGGAAGTTCAAGAAGAGAATTAATTAATTAAAGAATAGAACTTCTCAACAAAATGAAAATTTAAATATTATGTGAATGATGAGTACTCATTCTAAAACAAAATGATGGAGTCAGTTAGTAGTGAGCAATAAACAATATAAAGTAAAAGTAGTATGATTAGTTGTATTTTCATTTCTATTTCATTTATATCATTATTATGTGATATTATAATTAACTATGATGAGGTGTTTTGTTATTTCTTATTTTTTTATCTTCTTATTTTCTTGTTTTTATTATTGTTATTTAAAATCAATAAAAATGAAATGAAGTTTATTATTCTTCTATTATCTTTATATTTATTATATATTTCTTATTTTATTATTTATGTTATATTCTTATATCATTTTATTCTTATTTTATATTTATTCATTATTATTCATTTCATATTAACATTGATAAATAACAATACAACAATAATAAATAATATAATATAATATAAACAACAATAATAATAAAATATAAACAAACAATATAAACAAATATAAAATGATAAAATAAAATATAATAAATAATAAGAATGATTATATCTTATTTTATTATTATATTCTTCTTTATATTCTCTTATTTTATTATATTGTGTCTTATTTTCATTCTACATCATACCATGTTTATTTAAATCTAATAGTGAATAAAATAATATTATTATCACTATTAAATAATGACATTCAATAAATAAATTAAATTAAATTAAAATAATTTCAATCATTTTATCATTTGTAATAATATTTCATTTCATTTTTATTATTTTATTCATTTTCTATTTTAATTTATTCCATCCTTACATCTTCTTTCATTTAATTTCATTTATAAAGATTCAAAACAAATTAAATCTAATCTACTTTTAAAATAATTAATAAAAATATAAAAATAGAACTTAAAATTAAAAATTAAGTTCCAGTAGATTCTGATTACTCTAATTCACTTTGCTCATGTGAGATCACGTCCTTCACTCTGTTCAGAGACTTGTTAATGAGGTACTTCTATATCTCTATATTCACCTCCAATATAAAAATACAACTTAAAAATAATAAATATCAATAATAAATATAATAAAATACTGTAATAGTTATTGTTTTATCTACAAACAACTCATTCTATTCAAAAGAAATAAAAAATTTAATCAAATAAATAAATTAAAAGAATTTTAAATATAGAAAATTAAAAAAAAAGTAATTCAACCCATCCATAGAATTGGTACATTTTAATTATGTCATTTTAAATATCAAATAAATCAAAAAATTAATTGAAATACATTGTAA